TCAGATCCGTGACTCAGTTAAGCCGTGGGTTCTATTCTGAGATCGTAGAGCCCCGGTCGGTCCGACGGGCCAGTCTATCGCCGACCGGCTACTAAGCCAAACTTTTACAATAAATTTTCGATTGGATTTGCTTTTCGGTCGTTTTTATTATTTTTTTTGTAAATTTAAACAATAAACTTTTTATTTTGCCCAAGGACCGCCGGATATACCAAAGGTAAAGCCATAATTAATTGACCCTACCTTCTAATTTTAACCATCCCGCTTCTGTTGAAATCCAACTTTTACCCGCCCAGTCGACTCAAATATTTTAAATTAACCGAAAAAAATCCTAAAATAAACGAAACAAAACAAAAAATAACCTCCCCATAAACTACACTGATGACAGCTCAGTATTGTTTCAAAACAAACTATTACAGAATATAATGTCCATTATTGTTAAAACACACATAAGCCAATATTATCGCTTTTTTTTTAATCGAATAATCAATATCAGAGTATACGTGAGAATGTGATTTAAAACGGCTTTACAAAATGGTACGTGTCCAATCACACTCGGCTGTTGAAAATGAGGGCTTGTAAAAAAAATGCGACTCGATTCTTTTCCTCTTAAGCGCATAGTGCTTATCGGGGACCTTAGTTGACTTATTAGGTTATTGGATATCGTTAATGTGCCAAATGTAACCAAATCAAACACCGGTGACCGAAGTTACCCACAAGAAAAGAGACCCAAGTCGGAAAATTATAAAAACCGGATTATTTAGTTTTAGTTACTAGAAAAATGACACAACTGTAGGTGGACTAGCTGCTAGGCATCACTATGNCGGAAACATGAAACAACTGTAGGTGGACTAGCTGCTAGGCATCACTATGTTCCACTTTTGGCGGAAACGCACTGTCACCATTCTCGAAAAGTGGGATATCTTAATTTTGTGTCGAGCTTTAAAGCATCGGTGTGAGTATCTAAGTGGCAAATTTCGAATTACGTCAGTTTCTTTTTCTTGTTTAGTGAAGGATTTTTTTCTGTACCGGAGTCACATTGTCTCGTTATGAAGAGCATGTACTTAATACTCACTTTTCTTTTGGGTGTGCGATATTCTCTCCTCTCTCTTGCTTTATTTTCTCTTCTTTCTCCTATTTTGTTACGCTCTCTCCCCAACTCATTTCCATTTTCCTTCTTTCTCTTTCTCACACCCACTGCTTCTCTCTCTCACATTCTTTTTTCTTATCTCACTCGCTTTCTAACTTATTCTATATTTATTCTCTCCTGTATACTTTTTTCACCAACCAACGAGTTTTCTTACTTTCTCAGACTGTATATCTATCTAGCTGTCTATTTTTTATTTATCTTTATTTAGCTCTCTCTCTCTCTCTCTCTTTGAAAAATTATACCCACTACCAAATTATTTACACTTTATTTTATTTTTCATCTATCAACCTACATATTGATTTATTAATTCCAAATAGTTCGGTCCTCCGGGCCGGATTGAGAAAATAGTTCGCTCCCATTAACATGTATTTTTTCTCTCTCTCTCTCCCTCCCTCCCTCCCTCCCTCCCTCGCTCTCTCTCTTTCTCTCTCTCTCTCTCTCTCTCTCTCTCTCTCTCTCCCTCTCTCTCTCTCTCTCTTTGAAAAATTATATCCCACTACAAAATTATTTACACTTTATACACTTTATTTTATTTTTCATCTTACTATCAACCTGCATATTGATTTATAAATTCCAAATAGTTTGGTCCTCCGGGCCGGATTGAGAAAATAGTTCGCTCCCATTAACATTTATTTTTTTTCTCTCTCTCCCTCCCTCCCTCTCTCTCTTTCTCTCTCTCTCACTCTCTCTTTGAAAAATTATAAAAACAGGATTATTTAGGTTTTTTTAAAGTATTCGGGTGAATGTTACCGGAAACATGAAACAACTGTAGGTGGACTAGCTGCTAGGCATCACTATGTTCCACTTTTGGCGGAAACGCACTGTCACCATTCACGAAAAGTGGCATATCTTAATGTTGTGTCGAGCTTTAAAGCATCGGTGTGAGTATTTAAGTGGCAAATGTCGAATTACGTCAGTTTTTTTTCTTGTTTAGTGAAGGATTTTATGTTGTTCCGGAGTCACATTTGAACGTTATGAACGAGCATGTAATACATAAGCAAAAAAAAGTAGTTTCATTTGACTCTTTTGTAAAATTGTCTTTTTTTCGATGTTACTTTTCTTTTGGGAGTGCGATATTCTCTCCTCTCTCTTGATTCATTTTCTCTTCTTTCTCTTTCTCACATACTCTGCTTCTTTCTCTCTCTCTCTCTCTCTCTCTGTTTGTCTCTTTGTCTCTGTCTGTCTGTCTGTCTGTCTGCCTGTCTCTCTCTCTCTCTCTCTCTCTCTCTCTCCATCTATCTATCAGTCTATCTATCTATCTATCTACCTCTATATCTCTCTCTCTCTCTCTCTCTGTTTGTATCTTTGTCCCTCTTACTCTATTCCATTTTCCTTCTTTCTCTTTCTCACACCCTCTACTTCTCTCTCTCATTCTTTTTTCTTACCTCACTCGCTTTCTGACTTGTTCTATATTTATTCTCTCCTGTATACTTTTTTCACCAACCCACGAGTTTTCTTACTTTCTCAGACTAAATATCTATCTAGCTGTCTATTTTTTTATTTATCTTTATTTAGCACTCTCTCTCTATCTTTATCTCTCTCTCTCTCTCTCTCTCTCTCTCTCTCTCTCTCTCTTTGAAAAATTATACCCACTACCAAATTATTTACAATTTATTTTATTTTTCATCTGATTATCAACCTACATATTGGTTTATTAATTCCAAATAGTTTGGTCCTCCGGGCCGGATTGAAAAAATAGTTTGCTCCCATTAACATTTATTTTTTTTCTCTCTTTGAAAAATTATATCCCACTACAAAATTATTTACACTTTATTTTATTTTTCATCTCAATATCAACCTACATATTGATTTATTAATTCCAAATAGTTTGGTCCTCCAAGTCGAGCTTTAAAGCATCGATATATTTATCAGGAAAAGTGGCACAGTTGTTATAATAACCAACCAATCTTTTTAATGAACTATTCCTCCATGTCAAGGGATGAATAATCGCAGAATGGGGCATTGATATATTCACGATGTCTTTTGCGTCAAGTGGACAAACAAAGTGGGTCCATCTTGTTACTACAAAAAGCATACCCCCTCACGCTTCTTCTGATGTCATGTATTTCTGCTTGAAAGACAAAAGGTACTTCCCTAATAAGTTTGAGTGCTCATGATTTGGGTTTGTACAGAAAAAGCCCGATTCGGTTCCTTCGTTTGTTTTGGAGCCATCTGTATACCATATCGCTGTCTCTGATGCTCTCCTGAGTTCTCCTTCTCCTTTATAGAATATAGGGAGTCCCTTCTCGCAGTCCAGCTTTTGCTGTTTACAATAGACTGCCGGCAGACTTGGGGATCACCCACGTAATACATTCACGCTAATAAATACATTCACTCTCAACACAACATTTACACATGTTGTACAACTCACCCAATTGAGTGTCGATGGGGTACTCGATATTCCACCATCGGCCCACTCAAATGGCCTAGTCGCGCTAATAAATACATGTACTCGCAAAACAACCTTTACACATATTATACAACTGACTTAATTGAGGGTCGATGGGGTACTGGATATTCCGCTATCGGCCCTCTTACGTAAAACATTCACGCTAATAAATACATTCACTCTCAACACAACCTTTACACATGTCGTACAACTAACATAACGAAGGGTCAATGGGGTACTCGATATTCCGCCATCGGCCATCTCACTTAATACATTCACGCTAATAAATACATTCACTCTCAACACAACCTGGAGATTGAAATTACGAATACTTTAATTCATCTATCACCAGCAGAAAGTTCCTTTCAGTAAAAGTGACATAAAATAAGCTCTAGAAACGAATTGAACAATAAAATATGGGATTCTTATTTAAAATAACAAAGTTATTGTCATTTCCCAGCTACATGATAAAGTTGTGTTAAATGTGATACTACCACGCGATTCCTAGCTAAAATTAATTTGGAGGTTATATAAGACCATTTTATGCTAAAGTTAATCGTTTTGGACTATAGAAGTGGCCATAAATATAGTGAGGGACAAAGGATTCGTGCGTTAATTTGACTGAGTTCAGCCGCTTGTGCGTACGTGTTTTTTTAAACTCTTGTTTATCGTTTCATTCTTAACATCGGTGAGCGGCGCGCGTGCTGAGAAACCTCAACGGTTGTTTTATTTCCGATGAAATGTACAAATGTTGATGTTGTTGAAACTGCGCGTGAGTCCGAAAAGTTCATCGACTCGGCAACCGGCGAGTTTCAGACTTTGAGTTACTGACAATAGCCAAGTGTGATTTACTTTGATTTTTTTTAAATTTGTTTTGTTTTTGGACGATGTTTCATTTCAAGCATGGACGTGACTTTTCTGATCGACTCGGCACACCTTCGATCCGCGGATCGCATGCAGATTTGATGTTTTTTGTCCGCTAACGCAGGCCAATTTTGCGTTTGTAAACTACAGTCGATTTTGGAAGATACGGCGTAAATTCCCAAAAAGACTATTGGCTTGAAAAAAAAAGTGCTCAGAGTTTTGCATGTATGTGTTGAGACACGACAAGATAAAGCTGACACAAAATGATTCAAAAACTTTCACCCAAATCTCATTCTAACAATGTCAATCCGATTGTATTAAAATTTATGCCTTATTACGCACCTTTATAACAAAACGATTTAAGATTTTCACCCATCGAATCGTAGTTATTGAAATTTTTCAATATAGGAAGAGTTCGACAGGGTTGTCATTTGGGTTTGTTTTTTATTGTTGTCTGTTGAAAATATCTTTCGACCTAGATTAACGTTTTAAAACCGACGTAATCGGACGTCGGATTCAATGGTTCAAAGGTCGACGGTCGGACGATAACGGGTGACATTGCGATAGCCTGCTCGTATCTCAAGGAAAACCCGTGGAAATTTTACAAATTGACAACAATCACGACCGGGAAAAATCTCCATCCCTTTCTCCATAAATACTTTCTCTCTCACCACTATTTCCTTCTTTCTCACTCTCTCTCTCTCTCTCTTTCTCACACACACACACACATTTGATATTCGTTTGTGCACTGCACGAGTCAAACGATCCCAACTTGTGAAGAAAGTAGTCTAAAACAGAGACCCATGGCCGCTACAACTGATAGACTCGATTGGTAAATATTGCAAAGACTTTCAAAGTTTTATTAATAAACTTAACTTCGACCTGTCATCAATCAATTTGTTGATGTTGATATTCATTTCATATGTACAAAAAACTAAATTCCTATTGTTTGTTAATTACAGGTGTTAACTCGGTTCTTCGTTGTTTTTCATTATTTATAATGGTTTATGTTCTTTTACGAATTGTACAGTAATGGTTGTGAATAGCCTGCTATCTGAAAAGGGGAAAAATACCACATACAGAGACACAATAAGTCATTTATGATTATTTCTGATTGTTTGGAACGAATCTTCTTTCTCCATCTCATTCTCACTCTCTCTCTCTCCCTCTCTCACTCTCTCTCTCTCTCTCTCTCTCTCTCTCTCTATCTATCTCTTTCTATCTATCTATTTATCTATCTATCTATTTTATTTCTCATCTTTCTGTACATATTGATTGATGAATTACAAATAGTTTGGTCCTCCGGGACGGATTAAAAAAAATAGTTCACTCCTATTAACATTTCTCTCTTCTCTTTCTCTCTCTCTCTCTCTCTCTCTCTCTCTCTCTTTATCTCTCTCTTTATCTATCTATCTAATTATCTTTCTATCTCTATCGCTCCCTCTCTCATACACACAAACACTATAGTTCATTTCTGATTGTTTTAAACGTAATTTCTGTCTGTCTGTCTGTCTGTCTCCGGCCAAGGATTTGAAAAATTGTCAAATCATTTATACTCTATTTTATTTCTCATCTGTCTGTATATTTACATATTGATGTATTAATTCCAAATAGTTTGGTCCTCCGGGACGGATTAGTAAAATAGTTCACTCCTATTAACATTTCTCTCTTCTCTTTCTCTCTTTCTCTCTCTATCTATCTATTTATCTCTATTTCTCTATTGCTCCCTCTCTCATACACACAGACCCTTTTGTTCATTTCTGATTGTTTTAAACGTTATTTCTGTCTGTCTGTCTGCCTGTCTCCGGGCAAGGATTTGAAAAATTATCTCATTATCAAATAATTTATACTCTATTTTATTTCTCAGCTGTCTTATTTCTCATCTGTCTGTGTATTTACATATTGATTTATTAATTCCAAATAGTTTGGTCCTCCGGGACGGATTGAAAAAAAAATAGTTCACTCCTATTAACATTTCTCTCTTTTCTCTCTCTCTCTCTCTCTCTCTCTCTCTCTCTTTCTCTTTCTCTCTCTCTTTATCTATCTATCTAATTATCTCTCTATCTCTATCGCTCCCTCTCTCATACACAAAGACACTATAGTTCATTTCTGATTGTTTAAACGTAATTTGTGTCTGTCTGTCTGTCTCCGGGCAAGGATTTGAAAAATTATCTCATTATCAAATCATTTATACTTTATATTATTTCTCATCTGACTTATTTCTCATCTGTCTGTGTATTTCCATATTAATTTATTAATTCCAAATAGTTTGGTCCTCCGGGACGGATTAGTAAAATAGTTCACTCCTATTAACATTTCTCTCATTTCTTTCTCTCTTTCTCTCTCTATCTATCTATTTATCTCTATTTCTCTATTGCTCCCTCTCTCATACACACAGACCCTTTAGTTCATTTCTGATTGTTTTAAACGTTATTTCTGTCTGTCTGTTTCCGGGCAAGGATTTGAAAAATTATCTCATTATCAAATCATTTATACTCTATTTTATTTCTCATCTGTCTGTGTATTTACATATTGATTTATTAATTCCAAATAGTTTGGTCCTCCGGGGCGGATTAAAAAAATTGTTCACTCCTATTAGCATTTATTCTCTCTCTTTCTTTCTCTCTCTTTTTATCTCTTTCTCTTTATCTCTCTCGCTCTTTCTCTATCGCTCCCTCTCTCATACACACAGACACTATAGTTCATTTCTGATTGTTTTAAACGTAATTTCTGTCTGTCTGTCTCCGGGCAAGGATTATCTGAAAAATTATCTCATTATCAAATCATTTATACTTTATTTTATTTCTCATCTGTCTGTGTATTTACATATTGATTTATTAATTCCTAATTAATTAATTAATTAATAACTGAAGAGCACTGACGTCATGATGTAGAAAATGTTCTGTTAATAAATAAATTATGAAACTGACAAGCTTTCGACTTATTTTAAAGTAATCATCAGTTTATTATTTCTCTCTCTCCCTCTCTATAATACATACATCAATATATATTTTATCTCTCTATTTTATCTATTTGTTGTATTTTATCCATCTGTCAATTTCAAATGTTTTGGTCCTCCGGGACGGATTAAAAAAATAGTTCACTCCTATTAACAATATTATTCTCTCTCTCTCTCTCTCTCTTTATATATCTATCTAATTATCTCTCTATCTCTATCGCTCCCTCTCTCATACACACCGACAGTATAGTTCATTTCTGATTGTTTTAAACGTGATTTCTGTCTGTCTGTTTCTGTCTCTCTCTCTTCTGTATTCATTTTTTTATCTTTTTGCCACTCTCCGCGTTTTATCTGCGTTAATTATTAGAAAGGTAGATCCACGAGACCTAATTGTACGTGGATAAATAAATTATTTCAATCAATCTCTCTTTCTTTCTCAGTCCCTTCTCCCTTCTATTTTCAATTTGGTTCCCGATATATCTCATTTACTTGTTAGATTATTTCTTTTTTTATTCATCCTACTAATTCTGGCACACTCACATTTATCCGATAATTCCATTTTAAACGCTTTGTGTCTTTTTTTTGTATTGTTTGATAATCATGACGCGTTAATTTCGAATTCGTTCAGATTCGGGTAATGGTGAATGCAATGAAAGCGGAGTACTGTCACGATCTCAAGGATCCAGGAGTCATAAAAATAGTGGATGCAGCGAGTTCCTGCGTCTCCCGGGCTAAAAATGAACCCTGGAATCTGGCCGTCTACCCGGCGGATGAGGATAATTGGGCTCTCCGCTGCCCCAGGATTGTTTTTAGTCGGGCATTCGGCTCCAGTTACCATTTGGGTCAGTCGAACGTATTTTCCATGTATTCCACAGTGGCGGTGATCGGTCGCTCAATAAATAAGAAAAGTAAGACCGCAACAAGAAAGGGAAATCGGATAACGATCGGCTAGGTACATCGCGACCGTCTTTCCCAAGTTGTCAATGTTTCTTGGCCCGGGAGGACACACGAGGCCGGCAACTTTTCACGGGCGTCCTTATCAATGTAGGTCGAAAGGCTGTCAGGAGGTACCGTTGACATGAACGGCATCGCATTGTCCTACCGTTAACGTAACACGGGGGTGGGACGCCCTCCGTTCTCCACCCTCCACCCTCTGCCATCCGCCACCCCTGGGGTGGCCAGTATTCAGGTGTAGCTCGACATGCAAACTCTAAGCGGATCTGCCTTCGTCAGATCTCTCAGCAGGCGTCTAAGCGGTATGATCTTGACTTTTTATTCAAATCGACTCTAAACCTTCATCAGATAAACTGCATTGATTGCATTCCCATAAAAATTCAAATAATAATTTTATCTTTGATATTATAGTATACATTTTTCAAGGAAAACATTCCTTCTGAAAAAAAAATGGCCTTAGGAGATAACCTTATCGTGTTATTTTTGCGATTATGTGTAAATAGGAAATTGTCTCACATCTGCGGTATTTTCAAATGGAAAGTTGAAATAGATCACTCGAACAGGTTGTGGGGTTTTATAAAAGTTAGGCGACATTGAAATTCTGAATGCTACCACGAGTAATGTCAGCCCGGTAGAATAAATAGACAGAAATAGTCATAACTCGGTATTTTGGCAGTGTAACCGCTCTTTCGGACCGGGGTGTCCAATAAGTGAGTAATTTTTGAAGTTTCGATTAACGTTTTGTCTTTCTTACAGATACGATGCCGCAAGTTTATGCGGAGGAGGAGAAAGGAAAGAAGAAGAAATGGTGGGGCGATCTGTTTAAACGCAGGGTCCGTAAAGTCTCGGACAGTTCGTCGGACGACGAAGAGGACAGCAAAAAGAAGGGGTTCCTCAGCCGGCGGAAAAAGCACGACCGCGGGAGCAAGGACGTCACCAATTCGTTTCTGATAAACCCGGGGATCAAGGAGATCAGGGGGCGCAGTTTGGAAAACGTGAGGAACAACACTAGCCAGACGGTCAAAAAGCGGATAAAAGCCAAGGTCGAGGCGAGCAGGGAGCAGCTGAAAGACAGTAGCTCGGACGAGGGCAGTAGCTACACATCGTCCATCCCTTCTGGAGGGTCTTTCCCAAGGAGGTCTAGGGCCGCCAGAACGGAGCGACACAATAGGAGGCTCTGGTCCGCCAGCGTTGTGTATCAGGAGAGCAACGATTACGACACGAAGTACAGGGCGAAGACCAGGTCGGCCACTCCTAGTCCAGCGGCTAGCCCGAAAGTCAGGCAAAGGGCGAGCGCGCACGATATCCCGGCCCCACCCCCTAGAAAAATGGAATTACCCAAGTATCATCCTCCGGTATACACGACTCCAGTGAGCCACAGGGGCAAGCCGAGGTACAACGGCTTGGTACACCACGGCAGCGACCCTGTCATACCAAAAGACTGGGTCGATTTGGAGGTAGAGGAGAAGAAGCCTCCAGCGCCTCCGAAGAGGCTTCCCACTCTCGAGGACAAGAGACGGCAGGCGAATCTCGAGGAAGCTCTGAACGAACTCGAAGCGATATACAAGAAGTTGGAGGATCTCCAAGAGCCGCAGGAAGACGTCGGTGAACCCCTGGTGACGGACGATATGGCGTACAGGAGGCTGAACCGAAGAGAACCGAGTTGTCAGGACGTCAGGGATATCATGTCTCGGACGGGCAGCTACCTTTTGGTCTCACCCACGTTGTCGCCGCCCCCGCTGACGCCCCAGTTATCTCAGACGCCGACAAACGAGCCCGACGTCACGTTCGACGACGTCGTCTACAGGAGCATCAGCCACACAAACAACACCCTGAAAATAGTAGACCCTCAGCCGCCCTTCGGGATACCATTAGGGCCGATATCCACCGCGCCGAACAGCGACTATCTCCACGCCCAGCCTAACCGGGAATACAGACCCCCCGACACTCCCGACCTGGTCAGAGACGATTTGGCGTTTAGGAATTTGAGAAAAGACAGCCAAGAGCTAAGAAAGAAAAAAGCTGTTCGCAGCTTCTCAGCCAACCTGAGTAACGTCATTCTCAAAAACAACAACAATTTCAACGCGGTAAACAACAACATTGAAGGGAGGTCGCACAGTTATTCCGACATCCCCGAGGAGATGAGGCTGGCACAGAGGGTCTTAGACATGAGGAAAAGAAACAAAAGGCAAGCCAGGATCGACAACGACGAACTCAGGAAACGGTTCTTTGAGGTCGAATATGCCCCAAGTGAAACAGACCTCCTCAAAGAGCTGGAAGACGAAGCGCGGGCCACCAGCTTGGAATTAGAAGAACAACTGTCCAAATCTAGAACGGACGCATTATATTCTAGGAGCATGGCGGATCTGCTGAAAGAACTGACCAAAAATCTAGATTCTGATTTTGGCTGCTCGACATGCGACGACTACAACAAAGGTTCCAACAACAATCATTCTGATTATAATGGTAGGCCCAAGTTTGTGAAAGCGTTTTCTGCCGCCGATTGTTCGATACTAAAAAACCCTCTGCTAGGCGTATCGAACAAACCACCGAGTCCAAATTTCAGGAGGTACAAGGAAGAGCCGGTTTTTATGGACAAACCGAGAAATTATTACTTCCACGGGGGTTCGAAACCGAGGGATAGGCCGTGGGAGAGCTACAAAGGGAAGAGCGCATCCTATCACGGCCAACACGGGTCGAGCCCTAGTTTCGACTCCCCTTCCGTCGGGGCCTACATGCGGCAGACGCCTTCGCCCAAACACAGGGATACGAGCCCGAGGAGATCCCTGGAGCGGCTGAGTCCGATGCCCAGGGTGGAAGACCCTCTCTGGGTGCAAGCGCCGAGGCCGTGGACTGGCTTCAACGGAGAAAGGAGCGGCCCCAAGCACTGGCAGACGGCAAAGAGCCTCGACGAAAGGTACAGAGAAAGACTGAGCCCCAGGCCGAGGTGGTCCTCCCTCAAAGACAAAGATCCTTCCGAGGACATGCCCTGGCATTCTTCTCCACCCGGCAAGGAGTGTTTATTTCAAGAAGATCGTCTCAGCCCTGTTAAAAGTAGGTGGTCCTCGCTCAAAAACAGAGACGTTTCTGAGGATAAGTCCTGGCACGCTTCCACACCTAATAAAGAATGCGAAAGGCTAAGTCCCGTCAAAACTAGGTGGTCTTCTGTCAAAGAGAAAGACATCTCTGAAGGAAAGCATTGGCTGTCTTCTTCTCCCGGCAAAGAGAGTTTCTTGTCCGAAGGCCATCTCAGCCCGATAAAACTCAGATGGTCTTCTGTCAAAGAGAAAGATATTTCTGAAAAAAAGCCCTGGAACTCTTCCTCACCCGGTAAGGATTGTGAAAGGCTAAGTCCGGCCAAACCGAGGTGGCCTCCTTTTAAAGATCCTTCCGAAGCCTGGCACTCTCAGCCGGACGACGAGCTTTTACCCATCGAAGAACGCCTCACCCCGAGCAAACAGAGATGGCCCACGAAACAGGACGCTCGGGACGACAGCAGGTGGGATGAATTGAACGAGATCTGCCAAAAGATGCAGTCTGACCTGCCGTCAACCTCTTCATCCCCTTTACCGAGGGCGGGCGAGACGATCGAGCGGACGCCCACCCTCCTCACCTCGAGCCCAATCGACCTCGCGGCAATGGAAGCGGAAAGCGAAGACGAGAAGCAGCAAGGTAGCCTCGTTGTTTTTGCCTATTGCATGGCGTGTCTGCATCAGCTCATTGGTGTCGACCTCCTCACAGCATTCGCCTTCATCCTCGCTGTCCTATCCCTCATCCTCTTCATCCTCCTCTAGCCTATAAAAAACCGCCTTTATCATATTTCCTTGTGTTTGTCCTTGCGTGCCTTTCTCACCCTTTACACATTTTTCGCTTTACAGTATAAAAAAATGTCCTCGCTAGTTATACAGTTTGTTTTGTACTCTAGTATCAAAAATATACATATATACTTTTTGTTTTTCAGTTTTTTGCCTTTTTATTTTTTAACTTCTGCTTTCGCTTTTAAAATAGATACAAATCTTAAAACCTAAAATCAATGAAAATTCGTAACTCGTTCCTTCTTTCTAGGTGTGACCCCAAATCCTGCAACCCATGTGAACACGACGGAAAACGCACAATTGTGATTCGAAATTGAAGTTTTTGGAAATAAAATAATTTATTTAGTAGTTTTTATTATATATATTAAATAGTTTTTATTATTATTATTGTTGTATTTACCCCAACTCAAGGTTTTGGCCGAGAGCTGTTTAGCTAAGTCAGGCTGACGCCCAAGGTAAGTCCGTTGTTAATTATTTGACAAAAATCCACACTTACTCAAATAGAGAAACTTTAGTCAACTCTACAATCTATTAATTGTTTCAATCCGAACTAGTTTAGTCATACTGATCAACAAGACTTATGTGCTCAAATCCACACCGTCTAGCGGTTCAAGCGGGCAAAATTTGAGTAGGGCTCCAAATCCAGAAGATTTTGGTTGAAATCCACAAAACTTTAGTCGTACAAATCCACAAGTCTTTCTAGCACAAATTCACACAAATCTAGCGGTCCAACCCGACAAGATTTGAGAAGGGCTCCAACTCCAGAAGATTTTGGTGATTCAAACCCGTAAGATTTTTGTAGCTCAAATTCACACAAATCTAGCGGTCGTACCCGAGAAGATTTGAGTAGGGCTCTCACTTCAGAAGATTTTGGTGGTTGAAATCCACAAAACGTTAGTTGTACAAATCCACAAGTCTTTCTAGCACAATCACACAAATCTAGCGCTCCAAACCGAAAAGATTTGAGAAGGTCTCCAACTCCAGAAGATTTTGGTGTTTCAAACCCGTAAGATTTTTGTAGCTCAAATCCGACAAGTCTAGCAGTTAAACCCGAGAAGATTTGAGAAGGTCCCCAACTCCAGAAGATTTTGGTGGTCGAAATCCACAAAACTTTAGTCGTACAAATCCACAAGTCATTCTAGCTCAAATTCACAAATTCACACACGTCTAGAGGTTCAACCCGATAAGATTTGAGTAGGGTTCCGACATCAGAAGATTTTGGTGGTTCAAATCCACAAAACTTTAGTCCTACAAATCCACAAATCTTTCTAGCACAAATTCACACAAATCTAGAGGTCCAACCCGAGAAGATTTTGGTGATTCAAATCCGTAAGATTTTTGTAGCTCAAATCCACACAAGTCTAGCGGTCCAACCCGAGAAAATTTGAGAAGGGCTCCGACTTCGATAGATTTTGGTGGTTCAAATCCACAAAACTTTAGTCCTACAAATCCACAAATCTTTCTACCTCAAATTCACACAACTCTAGCGGTCCAACCCGAGAAGATTTGAGAAGGTCCCCAACTCCAGAAGATTTTGGTGATTCAAATCCACAAAACTTTAGTCGTACAAATCCACAAGTCTTTCTAGCACAAATTCACAAATTCACACACGTCTAGTGGTTCAACCCGATAAGATTTGAGTAGGGCTCCGACTCCATAAGATTTTGGCAGTTCAAATCAACAAATCTTTCTAACTCAAATCCACAAAAGTTTCGAGGTTCAAATTTACAAGTCGCTAACGCCTTTCAGCTACAAAATAAATAGAGGGCCGAAGGGGGTATTAATAATTAATATAAAACAAGAGTTGTAAAATAAGGTATTCTTTAAAACCGAAGTAACATATGAAACACATATATTTACAAGATATCAAAATAAAAATTCATCACTGGTTTTGTAATTCGTACAACTAAAATCAACTAGACTTGGATAGTTCAAATCCGCTCAACTTCATTACCTCACGGCTCGTATATACATAATGCGCAAAAAGTTAGTAGACTTGATAAACTTCATCGGAAATTTCTTGGGTTTCTTTTCAGGAAGTAGACACCTTCAAACTCATTTTCTTTTTATTGATCAATCAATAAAATTTATGAAAATTGATTGATGGTTATCTAGTTACTGAAAAGAAACCCAAGAAATATAAAAAGTCAACAACCGAAAAAGAATAACAAAAAAGGAATCGAAAATTGATCCAGGAGGCATAAATACATATGCGAAGTCAGGAGAATAAAATAATAAAATGATGCAAATAATGATTTGGGAAAAGGCGATTTTTTTTAAAAGGCTTACGTCAATTTTACGCAAGGTCTTTCTACAACGGTTATTTTGCCGGTAATGGACTTCGCCTTGAGAAAACAATAATATAGTATGTTCGTAACGACGCGACGTATCGGGTGACAAAGCGAGATCTACCGGACCACGGCCGCAACGGGCCCGCGAGAAGGGCAAGTGCTGCATTCTGTATCGACGACGATAACCTCCTTCTTCACTGTTGATTTTAAAACAATAAAATCGATTTAGAAAAAATCCTTAATTGACATTAAAAAACGTAATTATTCATTAAGCCCCGAGAAAATGCCAATTTAATTTCGTTTGTAGTTTGTTCTTCTGTTGTTTCCTTTCCAAAACAGTTTTTATTATATTGAAATCATTGAAACAGATTTTGAGGCTAGAATTGGATGAATCGAAATTAATGTATGAAATAGACAAATAAATTAAATGTTTGAGCTTGGATATACGTACATACCAGAAACAGCTTATGTTGTAATGAACACTTTTGATTGGCACATAATTGTTGAACAAATCAATCTGGTTCAATTCCCCATGCTTGAAATTAAACCTAACCACAAAATTCGTTTTGGATAAATTAAAAAAAGTCTCTCTCTTACAATGTAAATGCTATAAAATCATATTAAATAATGAATATTAGGCTTGCCTCAGTATTGCTTCCATTACATTGGGATAAATTCGTTTATGATAGGCGTAAAAATTAAATTTATCATTGTTAAAAAACAAAATACAAAAAAAAATTAAGTACGATATTTTCCAAAATGCTCATAAAAACGAATCAACTGCAATTAAATTTTACCCGATGGTTATAAACTTAATAAACATGGTCCTAAATAAAGAAGAAAACTGTTTATTAAATTAAGGCTTAAAATTTGTCCCAGAAAAGAACTAGATACAAAGCACTTTGGGTTAATCGGTTGTAAAATAAATACAAATATAAAATATAAATGCGCTGAAGTAATTAAACCAAACTTGATAAATCTAAATGTCAAAGTATTAAATCCCACTTTTAGTTAGATCAACAGATAAAAAGTGAAAAAGTAACAAAACCTCATTTTAAAACCCGATAAAGGAAATATGTACTATAATTATCATCGAGCAAAAAAAATGCGTTTCCTGAAAAATTCCTAAACAATAGCGATTATAAAGAAATATGAAAAAAACACCTTAAAATTAACCACGAGAGTTCAAACAGCGACAAAATTACTGAAAAAAAGTAAACAGTAAGAACTTTAATTTACAAACCGATAAATGAATAGTATAATTATCATTGATCACAAAAAATACGTTTCCTGAAAAATTCCTAAACTAACGATTATAAAGAAATATGAAAAAAAACACCTTAAAATTTACCACGAGAGTTCAAACAGCGACAAAAAATACTGAAAAAAATTAAACAGTAAGAACTTTAATTTAAAAACCGATAAATGAATAGTATAATTATCATTGATCACAAAAAATACGTTTCCTGAAAAATTCCTAAACAATAGCGATTATAAAGAAATATGAAAAAAAACACCTTAAAATTAACCACGAGAGTTCAAACAACGACAAAATTACTGAAAAAAAGTAAACAGTAAGAACTTTAATTTACAAACCGATAAATGAATAGTATAATTATCATTGATCACAAAAAATACGTTTCCTGAAAAATTCCTAAACTAACGATTATAAAGAAATATGAAAAAAAACACCTTAAAATTTACCACGAGAGTTCAAACAGCGACAAAAAATACTGAAAAAAATTAAACAGTAAGAACTTTAATTTAAAAACCGATAAATGAATAGTATAATTATCATTGATCACAAAAAATATGTTTCCTGAAAAATTCCTAAACAATAACGATTATAAAGAAATATGAAAAAACCTTAAAATTAAACACTAGACTTTGAAAAGCTACAAAAAAATAAAAAAATAAATAAACAGTAAGAACTTTAATTTAAAAAGCGATAAATGAATGGTATCATTATCATTGATGACAAAAAATACGTTTCTAAAGTTGGAGAATTCCTAAACAATAACGATTATAAAGAAATATGAAAAAACCTTAAAATTAAACACTAGACTTCGAAAAGCTACAAAAAAAAATTAAATAAATAAATAGTATGAACTTTAATTTAAAAAGCGATAAATGAATGGTATGATTATCATTGATGACAAAAAATACGTTTCTAAAGTTGGAGAATTCCTAAACAATAACGATTATCAAGAAATATAAAAAACCCACCTTAAATTAATAACTCGAGTTCAAACAGCCAACAAAATATACTGAAAAAATTAAACAGTAAGAACTTTAATTTAAAAAGCGATAAATGAATAGTATTATTATCATTGATCACAAAAAATACGTTTCTAAACTGTAACAATTTCTAAACAATAAATGAAGAAATGAAAAGTAGAGTTCAAACAGCTATAAAAAATACAGAAAAAATTAAAAAGTAACAACTTCAATTTAAAAGCCGATTAAGTAAGTAGTATAGTTATCATTGATCACCAAAAATACGTTTCTAAAATTGAAGAATTCCTAAACAATAACGATTATAAAGAAATATTTAAAAAAACACCTCAAAATTACCACTAGAGTTCAAACACCTACAAAAAAAGAAAAAAAAAGAAAACGAAATTCAACAGTATGATCTTTAATTTAAAAACCGATAAATGAATAGTATCATTATCATTGATCACCAAAAATACGTTTCTAAATTTGGAGAATTCCTAAACAATAACGATTATAAAGAAATATGAATAAAACACCTTAAAATTAACCACTAGATTACACGACATTTGAAAAATGGGAAAAAGGAGGGAAAATTCAAAAGGTGCGGTTGAGATGGGAGGTTGGTGTCCGAGTGGATCG